GTCTGGGCTGGGCGCCTCGGTGCCCCCAAGATAGGGGGGGGGGGGTGAAGGAACACGTCCTTGCACCGTTCTTGTTGCAGGGCAATTTTCGCTCGGCGAGGTACGGATACGTGGACTTTCGGTTCATACCGTATCACAAGCCATGATGGTACGGAGGGTCGGAGAGAATGTTGAAGACGGGAAGATTGAAACATTCAACGGAACAAGAGACAGACACGAGGCGAGTGTCTACGGATACCTAGGCATGGCGAAGGCAACCCCAACTGAAGAGGCGGGGAAAAGAACAGACGACGGGGATAGTCAAGTTGAGTGAGAGTCTAAGGTACGGATACCGTAGATAGGAACGATACCTAGGTACCTATCCTGCGGCCTCCGCCAATGCTGCTAGATGGGGCGAGTGGGTGACGGTCCTCTCAGGTGCAGCTGTCGTCGCGCCTCGAATCTTAACGTCTGTAAGGTCGGCCGAAGGACACGGGCAGTGGAGTGGAGAGCATGACGCTGAACCCAACCCCAGAGGTAGGTACCTCCATTACTTCCATTGCCTACCTGTACTAAGGCAGAGACCTAGACGAGGTAAGGTACCGCGCCGTTCCAATTGACCCCAACGACGCATCTCCCGCCAAGGTACCTCACTTTTAGGGACGTCCAACGTGCAGTCGGTACCAATGGGAACCTGGAAGGCGTCCCTTCTTACTGGACGAGGGCGACCGCGGATGCTGGAGCTTGAGCCAATCTGCAGGACTTCAGTGAGTGAGTACGTACCTCGAGCATCATGGAGCATTGGAGATCCACTCGCCCTGCAGAGGCAACCTTAGGAACCTTGCAGTGGCAGCCAAGATTTCCCCCAAGCTCCCCGTCCTCCACCAGTCTGAGCCTGTCTCTGCAGTCCGCCTCTGCCTCTCTGCCTCTTGTCTCTGCCACTCTCGCCGCTGCGTGCCGTGGTACATACGTCGTCCGTCCGTCAGGCCCTTCCTTGCCCTCTCCTCCTCAAATTCAAATACCTTGGGTTGCCCTTCCCCTACAGTTTTGACTTGCTTTCCTCAACTATCTTCTCAACACTCCTCCAACCTGACCGTGTTTCCCGCACTCTACCAACCAAACTCATCTAGACGGGCAGAATCCTTCACCTGTCGCAAAGGTAAAAACCGCCTTGGCGACCCGTCGGTTCCGCGATTCGATACCCGTCTTTTCTAGAGCTTCCTCGAGTCTCACACATACAGAGTAACTGAACCGTTAGCCGCCAACTTTGCCCACCATGGCTCAGGTTCCGCCTCCCAAGTCGAAGCTCGACATCCTGCCCAGGATGCAGGCAAAGGGGCCCTTCTCCGTTCCCTCTCCCGGCGCCGAGGCCAAGGACGGCGAGACTCTGCCCCGCCGACTTCCCCAGGCCGTTCCCGACCTCATCACCGTCCCCGGCAGCGGCAAGATCACAACAACCTTTGAGCTCGTCAAGCAGAGCGCCGAGAAGTACGGCAACGCCAGGTGCTTAGGCTCGCGCAAGCTGGTCAACACCCACCGAGAGACCAAGAAGGTGAAGAAGATGGTTGACGGCGAGGAGCGCGAGGTCGACAAGCAATGGACCTACTTTGAGCTGAGCCCCTACGAATACATCACCTTCCACGAGTACGAGCGCCTTACCCTCCAGCTCGGTTCCGGTCTACGCAAGATTGGCTTGACCAAGGCCGATCGTCTGCACCTCTACGCCGCCACGAGCCAACACTGGCTGGCAATGTCCCACGGCGCTGCCTCCCAGTCCATGCCCGTAGTCACCGCCTACGACACCCTCGGCGAGGAGGGACTCAAGTACTCCATGGTGGCCACCTCTGCAAAGGCCATCTTCCTCGACCCCCACCTGTTGCCTACGCTGGGCAACGTTCTCCAGGAGGCAAAGGATATTCGCTACGTCATCTGGAACAACCAGCACCAGATACAGCAGACACACCTCGAGCAGCTCAAGTCGGCCCACCCCGAGATCCAGGTCATGAGCTTCGAGGAGCTGCGAAAGCTCGGCGAGGAGAACATGGTCGACCCGGTCCCTCCCACCACCGAGGATCTGTGCTGCATCATGTACACCTCTGGCTCAACCGGAACTCCCAAGGGTGTTCCCCTCAAGCACAAGGCCGTTGTGGCCGCTGGTACGTCTTCCCCCGGAAGTGTGAGCAGACCCCCACTAACGAAACAAAGTTGCCGGTGTGAGTGCCGTTGTGCAGCCCTTCATTGGCCCAGGCGACGGCCTCCTGACCTACCTACCGCTCGCCCACATCCTCGAGTTCGTCTTTGAGAACGCCTGCATCTACTGGGGCACAACCATGGGCTACGGCAACCCCAAGACACTGTCCGACAACTCCGTCCGCAACTGCGCCGGTGACATTAGGGAGTTCAAACCCTCCGTCATGGTTGGTGTCCCTGCGGTGTGGGAGACTGTTAAGAAGGGCATTATCGCCAAGGTCAACGCCGGCAGCGCCCTCGTCAAGACCCTGTTCTGGAACGCCCTGTCTGCCAAGCAGCACATGATGAGCCTTGGTGTTCCCGGCACCGGCGTGCTCGATTCCGTGGTCTTCAAGAAGCTCAAGGAGGCCACCGGTGGCCGTCTCAAGCTTTGCATGAACGGAGGTGGTCCCATTGCGAAGGAAACCCAGCAGTTCATTTCAATGGCCATCGCCCCGATGATCATCGGCTACGGTCTCACAGAGACCACGGCCATGGGCTGCCTGACGAACCCCTTGGAGTTCAGCGTCAACAACATGGGCGCCATGCCCGCATCCATTGAGATCAAGCTGGTCGACTTCGCCGAGGCCGGCTACTACGCCACCAACAAGCCCAACCCTCAGGGTGAGGTTTGGATCCGTGGACCCTCCGTTCTGGAGGAGTACTACCAGAACCCCAAGGAGACCAAGGAGGCCATCACTGAAGATGGCTGGTTCAAGACGGGCGACATTGGCGAGTTTGACAGCCAAGGTCACCTGAAGCTGATTGACCGCAAGAAGAACCTGGTCAAGACTCTCAACGGCGAGTACATTGCGCTCGAGAAGCTCGAGTCCATCTACCGCGCTGCTGCGGTGGTTGCCAACATTTGTATCTACGCCGACGCCAACAAGGCCAAGCCCATTGCCATCATCGTGCCTGCTGAGCCGGCTCTGATCAAGCTCGCGGAGAGCCTTGGTGTCCAGGGCAGCAACCTCGAGGGGCTGGTGCACGACAAGAAGCTGCAGAGCGCCGTCCTCAAGGAGTTGCAGAACGCCGGCCGCTCAGGTGGCCTTTCTGGCATTGAGATTATCGAGGGCGTCGTCATGTCCGACGAGGAGTGGACACCACAAAATGTGAGCCTTTTCCCCGTCTTATATTCCCGAGCAACTGCTAACCATCCACAGGACCTGGTCACCGCCGCACAGAAACTTCAGCGCAAGAAGATCCTCGAAAAGTACAAGTCCGAGGTGAACAAGGCCTACGGTTCGTCTTAAGCAGGGCGGGTCGTTTCGCTCACATTTGATCATGTGGTTTGATCTTGTAATTCTCCCCTAATTTTGCGGCAACGGATTGGGTTGGCTACGGGACGCTTGATATCCAGGAGTATAGTGTTGTGTGTGTGCGCGCGTGTCCAGCCTTGTAACAACGATTACCTACCTTTATCCATCAGATCTCGGCGGGTCTGGAGGGTCGAGTCAAGGATGTGTTTTTTAATCTAGCTCAGTTTCATTCCAAGTGTTCGTCTACAGGTATAACGCGGTGGTCGATTTCATCATCGCATCTGTGATTCGTTGCTTTGTGGTTTGACGTGGCGGAGATTAGGTGGTGCCGATGCGTTGTCATCCACCTGGAGCCGGCCGGGCCGAGTCGGGGTCCCGGTCACTGGGCCCGAGGATGCCGTGCCGGCGGGAGCTTCGGGGGTTGTTTAACTGTCATCATGACCCGACCGCAGGCTGTTCCCTTCCATCTGTTGGCTGACATTTACCGTCCACGATACGATGGGAAACGTGAGTGACGAAAATAGGTCGCAGTAAATCATTGGAATACCATTCCTGCTAGCCCTGGATAATAAAAGTCGCACTTTGATCACTGCGCGCAGCTCGCCTTGCCCAAAAAAACACGTATAATCATAAAAACAGACCCGAGGACGTGTGGCGGTGGTGGCATGAGAGTCCCCTTTTTGACTCTTTCCTCCGCGCCACACACTACACCAGGCCGTCGTAGAGAGACAGTGCCGATACAATGGTCTCGTCACGTTTGCTTCCCTCTTTGAACTCTTCCATGTCCAGGCTGCCGTTCTCGTCCTTGTCCATCATGCGGAAGATTTTCCGTACGCGCTTCTCGGGGGTGTCTTCGTCTTCAGGGAGCTTAACCATGGAGCCGACCTGCGCGTCATCTTTGTCAGCATTTTGCATCTCGATTGGGAGGGCGGAGTGCGCAGATCGTGAACGCAAACAAGAGCACCATGCGATCCCCTCGGTCCACGATGAAAAAAAAAGACTCACCATCTTGTAGATTGCCTCGACGATCTTGAGCATCTCATCGTAGCTAATTTTTCCGTCCCCATCAATGTCGTACAGCTGGAAGGCCCAGTCGAGTTTGTCCTCCATCTTGCCTCGGCTGGTAACACTGAGGGCGCAGATAAACTCCTTGAAGTCGATACTACCCGACTTGTCGCTGTCGAAGACGTTGAAGACATAATCTGCAAACGAACTTGGATCACCAAAGGGGAAGAATTGCCTATATATCTTCTGGAACTCTTCTTTGGTGAGCATGCCCGAGGGGCAATCCTTGAGGAAGCCTGCCAAGTTGTCAGAATGTAGGTTCAGGTGCAGAAAACAGGCCTCGCGCAAAAACGCAAGACGATCAAGCATGAGATCGTGGCTGACATACCCTTGTACCATTGCTGCAATTCCTTCTTGTCGAAATGGGTGGACTTCTGCAGTTCAGCTAGCTGCTCCTGGGAGAGCTTGGACTGACTAGAGGAGGAAGATTGTTAGCTTGCGAGCCTGACGATCGAGCGCGGGTGCTTCATGTTCTCGGAGAGGCGGTTCGCCTCAGCACGACGTCCTCTCGGCGGTCCGTTTCTGTCACACGATGGGACCACGATAAAAACGCAAGTTTGGTGGGCGGGCGGACTCACGATTTGCCCATAGCTAACTATGAGCCTCGACGACTACGTCAGATACGAGATCCCGGGGGGCAGGTTTGGCTCAGAACCGGCGGAGGAGCGAGATTGCGTGGTGGTGGGTGGCCTGCGTTTGTCGCGATGTGAGTCGTGGGACGGCGTCGGCGGCAAGAACACAGTGTCGTCGCTCGGAACGGGTGGGCCGATGCCGGCGCAGGCGAAAAGGCACTACTGGTCGCCGAGGAAAAGAAAAGGCGTTGGGTCGAACGGATCGTGGATTCTAGGCGACGGCGGAAGGGAGCGGCGCGTGGTCGACGACTTCAAAGGAGGAACAAGGCTGGCGACAGATGCATAGATGCGCTCCAAGGGCGGGGGAGGGGAAAGAAATAAAGGGCCCAGGATGCTGTCGCCTGTCGGTGGTGGTGGCCAGGCACTTTGGTGCAAAGGTGCTTGCTTCTGACGCTGGCGGGGGGGACAGGACCCGATGATTGCTCAGAAAGTTGGCGGTGGGGGGATGGGCGGTTCCCTGTACGAAAGTAAAGGCGACGGTACCGAGCGTCCACTGAGTACGAGGTGGCCAAGACGTAAATAAACGGGGAATCGCTCGGCAGACGGAGGACGGAGTATTGACTATTGACCTAGTTGTCGGGCTGGACCGGCGGGGTTACGGGTTCCTTTACGTGCGCCTTTTGTTTTGCCAGTTGTAGGGAGACGAGGTTGCGAATCTTTGCTACTTGAAATCATAAGAGGATAAACAATGAAGAGGAAGATGCTTGGTAAGGTACGTTGTAGAATTCGATGAAGAATACGCGGGAGTTGTACAGAGGAAGGGGAAAGTCGTCAGTGGAAAGTGTATAGCCGGGTGCGAATCTGGCCCGGAAGATAAGGTAAGCAAATGTTTGAAGGTATGAGCAGGCCCCACGCACACACGTCCAGGCACACGTAGCAGGTGGCAGGCACGGCAGCTGGGCAGGCACGCAGGAAACAGCGGCGGGAGGCGAAGGACTCGGAAGGAGACGCAGCAATGATCAACGCGGCCATCTGCAAAGCATCCAGGCATTGTGCCATGTGTGAAAACACCGCAGGCAATTAATTGGTAGTGCCTAGGTCCAAAGGCAAGGAATGGCCGTGACGGACATTGCATCCGTCCAGTGGCAGAGTGGTTACAACTTACAGGAGCTCTGCGTAGGTGCGCTATCCAGTAATGTCGCAGCGAATCCAATACTTTGGTAGAGAAATGACCGGGATGCCTGTAGCGTAAGGTAGTGCTTCATTAACACCCGCCACCTGCCACATCTGTAAGGTGACGAAGGACTGGGATAATTGACTTTGCGTCGTTGAGTCCCTCGACTATGCCATTCGTCCTCGAATTCAGACCTCTCTGAATGAGCCCGTATCTTTGTGGGCAACATTTTAGATGAAGTTTGTTCTATGAATTCGAGACTTGGCTTGATCTGCCGAGGTCAATCTCAGTGTTCAAGTGCCTTAGAGCACGGTTCATTCAGGGTGTCAGAAACATGAAGAAACACCCGACACCAACGGGGACTACGCCGCGAAGCGTTGAACATGTTGCGTGGCCATGTACCATGTACCCCCTACAAACAGCCCTCGGACGATGAGTGGTCGTCAACGTCGACCTTGAGAAGCAGGGGGCTTGGCACTTCGCCCACTACGCAGTAGGTAAGACGTCGGCTCATGAACTCAGCCCCCAAGCCAGAACCCCAATCGGCGGGATGTCACGATTGCCACAGGGCGCACCGTCTCTCTTTCCTCGGGTTATTCATACATGGTGTGGATGTCGACTGGGATATGTGCCCGCATGACGTTACCAAGCGTCAATCCGTGGGATTAGAAGGTGCCCTCCTACGTGCCTACCTTACCTTACGACCTGGACCTTTCCAACCGGCGCCTAAGTACGCAGTACGTATCGCACCACTCATCGCTCTCTCTAAGCCTCTGAGGGCTCCCTCACGGCCTTTGCCCACATCACGATCTTTTAGACGGCCTCCAAGTACCCTCACTTCGAGACCATCAGCCACACTTTGTCCACTAGACTGCCACGCATCTTCAGACTTGAGCAAACTCTGCAGAGCCAGCCTCACCCTGGCAAGTGCCTGGAAACACCACGGGCCCGCCTCATCCGATCATCGAGGCTCGGCCACTCAACCGCCGAAAAACTCCACCGACCGCCGGGACCCAATACTTCGTCCACTTCGGAGCCCATCACGCAAAAGGAAGCTCCCTTGGCGCGCCCCGGTCGTCGCACGAAGAAAACCGCCACCAGTTCTTGTGGGCAGGAATGTAGAGCCAACGCATCATCAGAAACGCGATCCACGGCACCGGAGGCCACCACGCATGAACACCTTCCTCGAACGTTGTGTCTCGGTTTGTCAAAAGAAGTGGAATCGTTGTCGTCTTTTCCAGAATACGTCAGTCACAAAGACCCATCAAAGAGGTGATCTCATTTACTCACCTTGAGCTTGGGATCACCCATTCTGCCGAGCAGCTTCTTCATGAGCTTCTCATACCACTCATCCCAGTTGCGGTCGTACTCATTCAGCTTGAGCAGCGAGTCAATCTCATCGCTGAGATGTTCTCGCAGGACGGGCATGAACGAGTCGATGATGCCCTTGAGCTTCTCTCCGCTGTACGCCTCTTCGCCCTTTTGGATCTTGTCCAAGTAGCCCATGTACGCGTGTAGGCCGTCATGGAAAGCTTCGTGCTGCGCGACGTTGGCCTGCATCAGCCCCGGCACGCCGGCCAGCTGTTCAATCTCGGGGAAGACATCCGTCTCTTCGGTTTCGTGGTGCTCCTCCACCATCTTGCTCCATTCTATTGCGTACGACACAAAGTCGTGGACGTCGTTGGGCGACTTCTCCACGTTGATGCACTGCAAGTAGACAGTGTTGATGATCCGGAGGATGAGATTGTGAATAATGGTCATTTCTTCGGCCATGCGGTTCACGCCTGGGGTCTTGACCCCTTTCTGTTTGCACATGGTGAGTTTATGTCTAGCCCTGATGGCTTCAAAGGGACTTACCTTGCTTCCAGCACGGGTGCTGCTAATGAGCTCAAACGGCCCATCGGCCCAAGGCTTTTTTCCAGACATGGTATGGTATCGAGTAACGCGAGCTTGGGAGACAGATGAGCGTCGCCCAGGTGAGAACCAACGTTGAGGACCTCATTTTATATTAGTACCGAGCGACCTCATCTCCGCTGAACAGCGCTCTTACTATCCAGAGCCATGGCGGAGGCGCGTACACGTAGCGCCAGCCAAGTAATCCTCTGGTGTAGGTTCTCGCAAAAAAGGTGAGATGGAGGATTCAGAGTGCTGACGAGAGCACCCAACGCGGCAACACGCCTTCTTGCCAATCCAAAGGAGAGGCTCCAACCCCAGTGCTTACATCTCAACTCGCTCTTCTGCCCTATCAACGCGCCTTCATTATCACGTCGTCACGTCTGGTTGGCTCATCTTAGTCCTGTTGCCTTGATGAGATTTAACCATGCCCTAGGATGAGGGCGCCGAGACTCCAAGACGGCCCTCGTCACTGACTTTGATCCTGATTGGCATCGAGCAAAAGGACAAGGCATTCAATAGTGTGTATGTATGTGTATATGTGTCACGCTCCAAACAGCGCAGACAGGGTGGTTCGTAAAGGGTCTGCCAATTTAAAACGCCACGGCCGAAAATAGAGTAGACTTGCTTCCAGCCCAAACCCCTAAATGCAACAATGTGAAAGGCATTGGCAATTAACGAAGAAAAGAAAAAGCACAATGATTCAAATGCCCATGTCTCATAAGCTTGTTTATCCTCCCAGACCATTTTCCTTCGATGCCGTGCCCTCCATCATCGCCATATGATAAGAAACAGAATGAACCCCCCGCCATGCGTAAAACACCCCAAGCACGACACCCAACCCAACCCAACAATTGCTTTTTGTATCCCTCTCGCGCTCCGCACATTACCCGACAACGGCCTTCATACTCAGACTCTCCAGGAACCCTCCCAGATCCTCCTTCTTGACCTCCACAACGCAGTGTTCGAAGCTGTCTATCCGCACCCGGGCATTCGTCTCCGCCACCACCTCCTGGAACGCCGATCCGAACCGGTTGAGGCCGTAGCCCTTCTCCTTTGCGTCCTCCTCCTCTTCCTCGTCGTCCGAGTCGGAGCCGTCAGACGCCTCCGACTCGGTATCGAGCTCGTCAAAGTCTGCATCGTCGTCCCCGGCCGCCCGACGCGCCGCCCGCTTCTCCTCGCGGATCTTTTGCTTGTTGCGTCGTGACTCTTCCCGCTGCCTGGCCTTCTCGTCCTTGGCCGCCTGCCGCTTCTTGGCGGCCTCGCGGTCGAGGAACGTGGTATCCGGGCCGCCGCCGCCGCCAGTGCCGACAACGAGGTAGACACCGCGCTTGTCGTTGAGGCTGGCGACGACGAGGGGCGTACCGCGTCCGCCGTGGGAGAGACGGCCAGTGGTATCCTTTTCCTGCTCGACGAGGGCCTCGCCAACCCAGAGGGCGAGCTTGGTGAGCGCGGCCGGGTGGCCAAAGACGGGCACGTCGGGGCCTTCCTTGACCACGCACATACGGAATGCCCTTAGGTGCTTGATCTGTTTCTTGTTGATGAGCGACGTGCCGGTGCGGTAGATTGCGCGGTGGAGAAACTGGGCGGTTGGCAATCCTGCCTTGAGAGCGTCGATGCTACTGGCTGTTAGTTTGTGCTATTGTAAAGTGCGCGAATCACTTACTCCTCCAAGGCGTCGTATGCTTCCCAGAAACGCGCAACCCACTCCTCTCCTTGCGCGGCGACGACTTCCTCATCATCTACGTCCTCAAACTGATCTTTTGGTGCTTGCGTGAGCTCGGCGACGTCGTTGTGCTTGCCCACCTCCAGAAGAGCACCAATAACGACGCCGACGTCTTGCGCGCTCAGAGTCGCCCGCCAGCCCCAGCTGCGGACAAAGCCCCAGCCGTCCTTTGCGCCGGCGCGGTCTCTCCCGTCCGTGTCGACCGACGGGACCATGTCGTCCAAGTTGTAGAGAGATGCGTACTTGAGCAGCTTTGTCCGGAGCTCCCTCTTCAGCATCATGTCCATGTGCGTGTAGCTCTGCTTGCACTGAACCAGGCTGACGCCCATCTTGGCCAGGAGCTTGTGGAGCCTCTTCAGACCCGTGTCGCTCCACGTCTTGAGCCGGGCAAAGAGGTACGGTGAGTGCAGCATGCTGTCATACAGACTCCAGTGCCTGATGAGGAGGAACTTGGGCTCTGGCGACAGCCTGATGCTTGTGTCTTCGGGGCTGCGAGCCGTGGTAGGGATGATGCCAGAGTTCTCGGCAGCAGACGGACGCCCGCGGATGACTTCGGGCGGGTTCAGACGTCGAACTTCGTCTCTCAGCAGCTGGCGGATACGTGCGCCGCGGACACCCATCCAGCCGTTCCCTTGTCCCCGGTCCGAGTTGCGGACAGGCACCGCGATACCTGCAGATGACCTTCCGTACAACTCCATGGAAGTGACACCAACAATGGCGAGCCACAAGAGGTCGTTGTCGTCCCGGCCGAGCTCCGACGCGAGGGAGTACATCATGGAGGAGATCGGCTCGGAGAAGGAAGCACCAATTTTGTAGTATTTGCGGAGAACGGTCTCCTTTTCTCTCCGCAGACGCAACAGACGTCGTCGCAGAACCCTGGCAGATGGCGCCCGCGGTGGTTGAGCAGCCGATGGAGGTTCCAGGGGATCGCTCGAGAGGACCACGCCGGCGTCCCGCAGAGACACGAGCCCTCTGTGAGCTGGCCGTCGTGGTGATGAGGGGATTGAGGAAGACTGCTACGTGTTAGTGGCCATGGAAACAGGAGGACGCTTCACCACTCACAGAATTGCTTCTTCTCCGCTGGTGCGGCCTATCATCTGTATCGCTGGACTCGTCCTCATCGTCGCGGTCTGACCAGCTTTTCCGCTTCTGGCCAGCGTGTGCTGGTTCTTCAAAAAGATCCTCGTCCTCAGCATCATCGTCGTCGTCATCCAAGTCGTCCAGGTCCTCGCCGTCATCATCGACTTCGGGCATGTCCAGCAATGCTAGATATGCTTCCTTTTCCGCGGCAAGGTCATCCTCAATATCGCCGTCGTCAAACACAACAATACCTCCCTTGCCTGGCTTGTAGGCACGATTAATCCGACCAGCCACCACGCCTGGCGGACACCTGGATTGGAGCGAGGCACCTTCTTCGACGGCGGGTTCCAGTGGGAAGCCACCAAAGACATTGCCCAAGTTCCACGGGCGGTGCGAGTCCATGACCCAGACCTCGACACCGCCAAAGGTCACCTCCTCTCCCTCAGGTTCCAGTCCCAGCAGGCTTCCAAGATCAACCATGCCGCCGAGGCCGAGGCACACAACAACGCCTCCACTCCCTCCTTGCGTTTCCATCATGGGCTGGACCAGGTCCCGGCCGGCGCGTTCGAGGTCGGCATATCCGGAGACGGGTTGGATCTTGTGGGGGATATAGTCGTGCTTCAACAGGCGGGTCAGGATTCGACATGCGCAGAGGGAGTCGGGTTCCAGGGCGACGAGAACGAGGACGGGAGGGGACAGCGGGTGTCGCGTGTTCTGGAGGTGGGTGTATAGTTTGGATATCAGAGACCGTGGAAGATACATGGCTAAGAAGATTTTGACGCGTTTCCACGGTGTGTATCGAGCGGCTTCATGGGTTGCGAAATGGTTGTTCTCTCTCTTGTGTAGACGCGGTTGGGAGGGGCTCTACGGCGGGTGCGATGGGGGCCGACGGCGGGCAAACAGTCGCGGAGAGTGATTGAGAGCAAGCGAAAAGGCGAAAGACTGCAAGCCGCGAGAGGCGTAGGTTTGAGGGTCAGAGGCTGAATGGGATGGCTCTCTAGCGTGGGGTATATCAAAGTGCAGAAGAATCGACGGTGGGTAACAAACAGTAAGTATTCTGCCTCATGAGAGCGTAAGGTAAGGTAAGGTAAAGTAAAGTGCTAAGGTATTATTTGGTGTGGTGGTGGTGGCCCAGGCCCGAGTCAGAATCGAGTGATTGAGTGCAAAAGTGAGAGTGACGCGCTGGACGCGGTCTACCAGACTTTAGCGACGCGTTTAGGTACGCTACCGGCTGTTTGCGACGTGCTGACCTGGGAACCTGTTAAAACCACGGGAAGAAGTGGACCGTACCGTCGGCCGAGTGCACGGATCAACCGATTGCGGGACACCGGGACAACCGCCGCCCCACTATTAGTCGTCCGTCATAACGCCGACGAGGACATGAAGGTTCTCACTCCTATTTCCACCTCTACGGTAAAGTGGTAAGGTACCTTTTCAAGTATCTTTTGATCCAGTGTCACTCACTTCTCAAATCTACAAGCTTCATCTCTTGTTCTTGTTGAACTCTTGATCAACAGGTATCCGACAACGCGAGCACACACGAGTCCAACGGTGTGCCCCATACCTTCTCCACTTGGTCGGCTAGTCTACCTATTTTCCAGCCGACATTGGTTGATCAGCGTCCCTCTTATTGCCCTTCAAAGTACCTCACCACGGACAAGCACTCCGCATTACATATCCGTGAGCCTTGGCTGGCGGGCCATCTACAAACTGGACCACGGGGGTAACGGAGTTGTCGTCCGAAGTAGCTTTCAGTGGCGCCCTCCAGTGCTACACGTTAACATAGTATCGTGGGCTATCGGTATCCTACCCTGAGGAACCACTTGGTCTGCGAGACGTGCCTCACTCAGTAGATACTACGTAGTCCCAGCTCGTCACTGTCCGAATACACGCCACACCCCACATTGACACCCCGCATCACTTCACTGCTCGCACCGACGCGCGCTGTGCACTACTGTGTATGTGGTGACCGCCATCTCTACTTTACCTACCAGAGAGACCGAAACACACTCTGCAGGCTGCTTATGCGCGACCTCCTCGAAACGGCAAAGCTTCGATCCCCTGCTTCTACTGCTGCTGCTTGCGCGAAAGAGAGGACCGCCCCCATCACAGTGGACTTGAGAGAATCACTTCCACACAACTCATCGCCCGGACCCTTAATGACGCCGCTCGGCCGATGGCGGTATAGACACCGCTCAACATCATACATAGCCACTACCTTGCCTCACTCACGTCCTTGCCTGCCCACACAAACATCTATAAGCTCGCCGTTGGATCGGCCCAGTCTCCAACGGCCTTCTATCCTGTACCGCCGCACCGCTGCCGGCACCGCATGCGGCGCTGTTTCTAGCTCGCCGTGGCCTTGGAACCGGACGGACATTCACACCGCCCCAGCCTGTTGGCACCGGTTCAACCGCTGTGCCACCCTGCTGGGCACACTTGGTACACCAACAGCTGCAGAGAGGGGAACGAGTTGCTTGGTAGTTGGTTTACCATCCCATTGGTACGAATTGCGATCCTAAGTACCAGGTACTGTTCGTCCCTCAAACTCCTCAACTCCGGTTTTCTCTCAACCCTTTCCGCCGCCCATTACTTTCCTCCTTGATTTCTACGCACGACTTGTTCGTCTGTAACGTGCAGCCAGCTGGGCTTGCCGAAGGAGTCATCTGCAAGGCTGACAATGCTGTGACCGTTCTCAGGCTTATCTTGTTCGACCATTGTACGTTGATTCGGTAGCTTCGCTCAGAAATGCGCCACTAAAGAACCCAGCAGGCTTCCTCAGACCGTGGTGTTGTTAGCTCATACCGGATACTCACCGATACTCTAGAAATCACACTTACCCTATCTCACTGACAAAGGACCACCTCAGACGCGGTGGACCGTCTCACGCGAGCGGTGTTGCCATAACCACACCCCTGGTCTGACTGCCCCCGAGAACCGCATCTAAACCCGCCATCATGAACATGTCCAGCAGCGAGCCCATAGAGCCTGCTCCAGCAAACACGTTGGACGAGGACGAAGACTTTGAGGGGTCAGACTACGGAGGATCAGACTATGGAGAATCGCTCGCGTCTTCGGGCTTCACCTCGCTCGCTTCCCGTGTGATGAAGCACTCACACGAGGGTGGAAGGTGCGTAGATCATGTCTTTATGGTTAATCCCCTCAGAAGAGAACGCGGAAGCTAAGTTGACGTACCTTTAGACGCTATCAGTCCTTTCTACAAGGCATATACCCTCTTCCGAATGATGAGACGGAGCAGTTCCGCGAAGAGATGAAGCACCAGCTTGTAAAACGCCTCCTCGATGAGAACGACTATCTAGCACCAATCGGTGACCACCCGCAAAAGATCATGGACATCGGCACCGGCACCGGTCTCTGGGCTGTTGACAGTAAGTCATTGTTGTTCACGCCGGTTGGGAGTCCAATTCTGACTCACCAAAGTCGCCGACAAGTTCCCTAGTGCACACGTCATCGGCGTAGACATATCGCCCATCCAAAACTGTTACGCGCCGCAAAACGTTGACTGGAGAATCGACGACATTGAAGAGACCTGGTCGCCGCTGTACGCCAACTTGGACTTTATTCACATGCGGTCCGTTTGTGTGACTCTTCGGCAGCCAGTTAAGGTCATCCACTCGGCGTACCAGTAAGACCCCTTGTCTCTGACCGATGAATCGAACATTTCTGCCCGCTTGCTGGTTTCTGAACATTCCTGACATCCCGCAGAAACCTCAGACCAGGCGGCTGGATCGAGTTCCAAGACGCCGGCGTCAGAATTGGGTGCGACGACAACACCCTGCCCCCAGACTACGCGCCCGCCAAGTTCATGGACAGGTTCATCAGCACCTTCAAGACGCACTATGGCTGGGACCTCGAGTTCCCCAACGTCCTGCCCGACATCCTGCGCGAGGCCGGCTTCGTCAACATCCGCTACCGCTTCTTCAAGCTGCCCATCGGGCCCTGGGCCAAGGACCGCCAGCAGCGCGAGATCGGCCTGTTCCTCAGCAAGGACGTGCTGTGGCAGCTCGTCCGCGCCGTGCTCGTCAAGTGGGCGCAGCTTGGGCTGACCAAGCAGGAAGCCGATACCATGGAACAGGACATCCGGAAAGCGTTCCACAACACGCGCATACATGGATATCTTCCGTGGATCTCCGTCTGGGCCCAGAAGCCGCTCACCTGAGGCAAGACGCTGCAGTTTTTTGCAACCTCAGATGAGATGCGTTTGACGGTAGCCGGTCAGTCAGCCAGCCAGACAATACCGCCCCAAAGGCCCGCCTGAGCAAGCCATGCAGCCGCGACAGGCGACGGCGAGGCTCTGGCGTTCCGGTACGCTTGTTCGTACCCTTTGGCCGGTGGGTTGACGTTGGTGACACGGCATGCATTGTACGGTGTGATTCGACTTGCTGGGAGTGCGGGCACGCGCACGTCTGACAGCATTCGTGTCGGCACGTTTCCTAGTCAACCCAGGGCCACCACCCGCCTCTCATCGTCAAGTGGCCGGCAGTGGACGGGGAAAGCAAGCGACCCATACGCTCGCAAGGCTGGCTTGGCGCCAGTTGATGGCAAACATCGTTGGAACGCGGCCAACACCCATCTTTCATTCAAGCGAGAAACACTCCGGCCCTAGATCCGTTTACGTATTTGCCCCCGAGTCGTTTACGGTTTTCTTCCATAAGTTACATACACGTCAAAATACCCATGCCTACGTACATCACGCCACTCCGCAATGACATTCGCGCTAAAGTCCCAGACCTCCTCTTTCCTCCAACCCATGAAGCGGGTGAAGAGGGCCAACGTCATGGACTCGAGCCCGACGCTGAAGTTGGCCTCTGTCCAGACGCCTAGGGTCTTGTGCTTGACGTCGCGCGGCCACTGGTTGATTGGCCACTTGAACTGGATACGCACAATATCGACGAACCCGACGCTGGTCATCGTCTCGGCCGCCCTGCCGCAGGTATCCAGGAGGAAGCCCGACCTTTGGCCGGCCTCCATCATGAGCTCGTTCCACCGGCCGAGGTCGCAGTCTGGCGGGATTGTTCCATCGTCACACCTCATGGGGAAGTCGATATCCTGGATCTCGAACCATCCCCCCGAGTTCAGGTTGCTCGAGCCCACGTTAGTTGATAACGCCTGTGGGGGACAATGACATACTCAAAGGCTTGTTGGTGGAAGTTTTGCCAATCCCTAAAAGCGCCCGTCATCATCATACAGTGAACATAGTCAAACTTTCTAGAAAAGCTCCACTCCTCCTCGAGGTCGTCGATTTCGTAATGGACGTTTGGCGGTGTGCTAAAACGATCAGATCTGGTCAGACATGTATTCTTCTTACAAACTCACAAGCCAGGCTGAACGGGAGAGAGGTCTACGCCGACAACTTCGGCTTCAGGGTGTGCCTCGCCTGTGTGGAATCAGCAGGTGTGTTCGGGTCGTATTGAAGAGAGGCTACTCGCCAAAGTCTATTGCCCACAGCCCTATGCCGCAACCGACGTCTAGGACTCGATGGGGATGGTGTACAGGGGCAAAGTTGAGCCTGTTTTCAAAGGTCAACTGACAGAGCTGATATTGAAAAGCTGCGAGCAGTCAGAGGTTTGCCAAGCTATGTGGGGGGAGAGGCCTACCTTGCCGATCGAGTTCTTCCTATACACAACAACGAGTTAGTTAGGGCGCCTCATCTGCCATGCACATACATACCTGATCAGTGGGCAAGACATATTTCCCGTCCTTGTAACCGTGATAGATTCGTCCATTCTCCTCGCGTGCCCGTACGATGCTCGATCGGAGTGATGCGGTCGAGGATGGCCATGCTTCTGACTACCGTCTATTTAAGCGTTGTCTTTCTTGTGCGCGCCCCGGATAACCTACTTCTCCCAGTGCGGAGTCCACATCACTCCCTCCAAGGCTTTGCATCTCGGCGTCGTCAATATCCTGGGAAAGACCTTAGTAAGATGCCCGCGAAATCCCAACACTCACAGACCCCTTTTCCGGGTGCTGACCTCATCTGGTTCCAGGTCAACGTTTGTCCCATGCGGAAAAACAATATCTATCTGATGCATCGCATCAGGCGCTCTTTCGGTCATGTCGCTGATTTGTCGTCGAATGTTGATTCGCAGTTCTAGTAAACAAGGAGAAATTTCGAGAAATAGGAACCATCCCATCAGAGATGGAAGACTAGCAAGGTGTATCAGTTTGATATTCCCCTGCCGCTGCCAAACGCCTTTTGAAAGGGGTAACGGATGACACCCGTGCCAGCGAGGGGGATCGTTCAGATGGGGTAATTTTGACGAGGCGACACAAACAAGCGGCTTCGTTGTCATTCGAGCCTTCGGCTCCGTGTCACCAAAGGCGGCGTGTTGTCGATAAGTCCCAGCCGGCCCAACGAAGCACGCAGCGCATCACGGTCAGCAGAAAACGATGCGCGAGGCTAGTTGAATTCCATCTCGTGAGCCTCGCCAGCCCTCAGAGCAAACGGCTGCAGCACTTTGTTCCAACAGCAAAGCTTCATCCAACACCTTGCTTGGCGCCATCCGCAGATGGCTTTGGTCATCATGGGCACAAACATACAGTAGCGTCAGTAACAACACTGTGTGTGTTGGCGTGAACGGTGCCTTACACAAATCGTATGCATGCGTCAGCCACAGCTGGAGTTTGTCTGCTTGGGCCGTCCCCCGGGCGAGCTGTCAGTGCCCAGTCAGGACATGATACCTTGCACAGGAAGAAGCAGACGTGGTTGTGGCCGACGTTGCGGCGTTTTGAGAGCCAGGAAGCGAGGCATCGTGTCATCGGCCGTCTCGCCGAGGGCCGGATGCCTGCATGCAATCATGCAGAATATCGGGTGGACAGGCAAATACGGCCGATTTTTTTTTTTGCCGCCGTCAGCTGTCCAAGTTGCTAGCTCGATGCTGGCGATGTGCGTCGTGGAGAGCCAGGGAAATAGAAGATGAATCGATCACCACCACCACGAGGGTGTCCCCGGGACTGATTGCTGTCTTTGGGCACCGGTGTAACCAAACTAGAGTGGCTGCAATCCGGCTCGGGAGGGGCACCACGGGTAGCAATCAGGATAACGGCCCATGGGGAATCTCACATCGACTGTGACCACCCGTATACGTGGGTGTCGGATAAGAGCTGCAGGATGGGATTTAGCTTAAGTATTGCTGCTCATCTACCGTAGGCCTGGGTGGCATAGTACTTATCACAGTTTAATGACGATTCAAATGGACGAGTCGACATGAAGAAATGGGTTTATGATAAAACAGCCCTTTCCGCATACTTGGGCGAGGTTGTCAGGATGTCATCGGTCTGCTTCACCGAGATGCCTGTCATATAGTAGCCTCTGGCCGGAATCCGATGTCATGCGGGTAGAACGGGACGCTGCATATGACGGCTCATATTTCTATTTCTCTTGCCAGAAAGATTGAAGAAGAGGAAGATGACCGACGGACGGAGCGGGTGGGAAGAGAGGCAGAGACACTGGGGTGGAGGGTTGGGTTTGGCGCCACGAGACGTGGTGATATTGGCGAATGAGGGAAGCCATGATCCATTCTATCCGAAGGAGGTGCTCGGGATACCTTACATTAGCCTCTCTTGCATAATCAATGGGTGATGAAGTCAGAGAATGGACGGAGGTGCGGTGTCTTTCTTCACCCCGGCTGCCAATTCCACAGCTTCCCTTTACAAGTTGCTTGCTGCTTGCTGCGTTTTGCTTGCTCTTTCCATCCCATTGTTGCGAAAGCTCTTTCCCTGTGGTCTGTGGGTGGTGTACACTGAATCAGACAAAGGAAGAAGGCGCTCTCGTCGCCCGCCGGCTGCCGTCTACGCATACTTCTACGCTGTTGCCCTCCGTAGAGGTCGCCGAGTGTCAACTGCCCGGCCAAACTTTCCTTCCCTCCTCAAGTTTACTCCTCAGACTCACTTTCATCATCATTTTCTCACTCTCCACTCATCTCACAAACTCACCTACTTCCCTATCCAACCCAACCCTCGAAACTGTCCCGTCACCTTCAACAACCCGAGACATCATGGCGGCCATCCAGGAGCTCTCGGGCCACATCTGGAACCTGCTTCTGCTGTTCCTTGCGGCCCTTTTCATATATCTGGGATCCTTGAGCTACCGTTCATGGAACCGTCTCAGACACATCCCCGGACCACCAGGTGCCGCCTTGAGCAAGTGGTGGATGCTACGTAACACACTGGGTGGGCAGATGCATCTCGCTCTCAAGCGAGCCTGTGATGACTATGGTGAGTTCAATCCTCTCATCCCAGAAACACCATCAGCTCGCCCAGCTGAGTGGTTTGTTCCGGGGGCCGAAATGGGTCTCAGATACACATGCCGCCCAGCCAGGCAACATCAAGGACAAACGGCCTGTTTGTTCCGACAGGCTGCTGACAGGGAACTTTTCTTTAGGCCCGGTCGTCCGCATCGGACCCAACGACTTGGTAACCAATGACTCGGAAATCCTTCGTCGCATGTGGGCGGTTCGCTCGCCATACCGCAAGGGCGCCTTCTACGAGGCTGTTCGCTTCGACCCTACGAGGGACAACCTCATCTCCATGAGAGATGATCACGAGCACAACGAGCTGCGCGCCAAGATGGCCATTGGCGTAAGTTTGCACTGACACCTGCATTCCCCCATACTCACATTGCTCCCAGTACTCGGGTAAGGAGAATGAAGGCCTCGAGACCGCCATCGACGGTCAGATACAGGCCTTTATCAGACTCATCGAGGAGCGATATGTCTCTACCACCGGTGTCTTTCGCCCGATGGACCTTTGCCAAAAGGTTCAATACCTCACGCTGGATATCATCACTTCCCTTGCATTTGGCTATCACTTCGGTTACGTCGCGCAAGATGCCGATGTTCATCAGTACATCAAGATGACCGAGCAAAGTATGCCTGCCATGATGACGCTCTCTGTATTCCCGCAACTGGCCAAGCTGCTACAGTCGCCCCTATTCCGCCAAGCCATGCCGTCGGAGCACGACCGCGTAGGGTTCGGCAAGTTCATCGCGTGGGTAGCCCTGATCACTCTGTCCGTAAGTAACTGACATTGTTAGTGTTGCCAAAAAGGTCGTGGCGGAGAGGCTGACGTCGGACAAGACAGCCAAGCGGCGAGACATGCTTGGATCGTTCCTCGCACACGGGCTAAGTCGAGAGGAGGCCGAAGGCGAGACATTGGTCCAGATCATGGCCGGGTCCGACACCACGGCGACCGCCATTCGAACGACCATGCTCTATCTGATGACGTCCCCCTCATGCTACTCAAACCTCGCCAAGGAGGTGCGGGAGGCGGCCAACGCGGGCACAATCTCATCCCCCGTGACCAACCGCGAGGCGGGCGGCCTTCAGTACCTGCAGGCAGTCATCAAAGAAGGTTTGCGGGTGTTCCCTCCCGTCACCGGTCTCATGTCGACGACGGTGCCCGCGGGCGGCGACTTCATGCACGGCATGAGCATCCCCAAAGGCACCGACATTGGCTGGACGGCATTTGGCGTGCTTCGCTCCAAGGCAGTGTACGGCCCGGACGCTGACGTGTTTCGGCCGGAACGGTGGCTCGAGGCCGGCGAGGACGAGCTGAAGGCGATGACAGCGCAGTGGGAACTCGTCTTCAAGTACGGAAAGTGGCAGTGTCTCGGCAAGACGGTCGCTCTCATGGAGTTGAACAAGGTCTTTGTGGAGGTAAGTTGCGGCGAGACCTTCCTAATGTTCAAAGTAAGAGTCTAATGCCGCGTATAGCTCATTCGCCGGTTTGACTTTGCCCTGATTGACCCCGCCAAGTCGTGGAGTTCATTCTCGGCCGGCATATTCATCCAGTCCGACCTCTGGGTGAGAGTTCAGAAGCTCGACTAGTCAGCTCAAGACTCGGACTAGAGGCGTGTCGACGTCCGACGGTTGAAGGGGATCCAGGGAGCGGAAACTCTGCGTACAGTGGTGAGCCAACTAATTGGCTTATAGATTGGCATATATGGCAGAGGCAGATTGACAATACAGACTTTCTTCGTTGAATTGCGTGTGCGGACATGGCCGAGTTAACCAGGCCAAGACGCACAGGAGATGAAGACGCCCTAGTGATCGGAGGGCGTTGATTGTGTGTGAAGGGAAATCCCGAAAGCGAGTGTCCGCGAACTCCGGCCCTCCGAGTCATGCAGGGTGAGTTCAGGAGGGCTGATCAATTACCGTGTGGTCCTCCATCATTCGCGCACACAATGTGTTCAGTCAAACGGATCACCTGGAAGCCGTCTCGAAAGTCTGGTGATGAGGTTGTGAATGTGACCCAGTTACAGAGACACCAATAGTTAGAGGAGGTTGATGAGGTTGGTCGCCCCCCGCACTATTGCCATCGTGTGGCATCCCAACGCAGCTAGACCTGGGGAGTGGACTTATTTCCCCATGGAATGGTCGACCAGTCTAACCGAGCCCGACAGTCCGCGCGCTGCACGATAATCGGCCCGCAACGTTGTTCTTCCCTTCGTATTTCACACTTTATAAAATCATAACTCACTTCACAGCAATAAGGCAGTAAGTAAATTCGAAAGCTAACTAGTAACCCTCATCGAAGTCATCGAATTGACTTTTGCTCGCATTTGTTTGAGAAACTCTGCCAAAGCAACCTAGGGTATTAGACTTCTAGAACGAAATGACGGATCCACGACGATCCCCTATCTCAATGCTACCCAAGAGACCCCATCCCTGTCCGCGTTCGATTTGGGATGAACACGCAGGGGTCTGCAGCACGATGATGCCAGTAACAAGCTTCGAGAGCTACTATTGTTGTTCTGTGCCCACTGCCCAGCTAGGCCCGCACTTTGCTATACGACTATGTCTCGGGGGCTATTTTGGGATATAAGAGTATCCTTCCCATCGTCGACCTGAAATGCTCTAGTCCGGCACCTTCACCGAACACTTCAACGACTGAGGAAGTAAAGGCACGATCACCATGAGTCTAACAAAAACACTATTCTGTGCCGTTGGGCTCGCTGCCAACGTTGCACGCGTTGCCGCCGCAGATCTCGACGACTTCATCTCCAGTCAAAGAACTATTGCGCTCAATGGTGTTCTGAGCAACATCGGACCTGACGGTGCCTCAGTTGCAGGCGCAAGTGCCGGCATCGTCGTTGCCAGCCCGTCCAAGGCCGACCCCGACTGTAAGTTCATTCACTCAAACGTGTCGTTCTCTTCCTGACTTTGCCAGACTTCTTCACGTGGACTCGCGATGCCGCCCTGACCATGAAGATGATTGTCGACGAGTTCATCCTCGGACACGACGAGCTCCAGGTCCACATTGAGGACTATTACAAGTCCCAGGCCGTTCTGCAGACCGTCAGCAACCCTTCCGGATCGTTCCTCCCGTCCGGCCGGGGCCTCGGCGAAGCAAAGTACCTGGTCGACGGCTCGCGCTTCAACGGCGAATGGGGTCGCCCGCAGAGAGACGGTCCGGCGTTGAGGGCCATCACGCTCATCACCTACTCCCGCTGGCTCGTCGACAACGGACAACAGGCCAAGGCCAAGGATGTCATCTGGCCCATCATCTCCAACGATCTATCATACACCGCCCAGTACTGGTAAGTAGACTCATGTTCCATGGCTCTACAGGCAGCTCACAATATCAGGAACTCAACCGGCTTCGACCTGTGGGAGGAGGTCAACGGCTCCAGCTTCTTCACAACCCAGAACCAGTACCGCGCCCTCGTCGAGGGAGCCGCGCTCGCCGAGTCGCTCGCCGTCAAGTGCACGGGATGTGAGCTGGCCCCAGACGTCCTCTGCTTCCTCCAGACGTACTGGAACGCAGCGGACGGCTACTACGTCGCTAATGTCAACACGCAGACGCAGCGCTCCGGCAAGGACGCTAACGTCATGCTCGGCTCGATTGCCGTCTTTGACGTGGCAGCGAGCTGCGAGGACCCTTCGATCCAGCCGTGCCACAGCAAGGCCCTGAGCAACTTCAAGGTCTGGGTCGACTCCTTCCGCAACGGCACGCTGTACCCCGTCAACGAGGGCATCGCGCAGGGGCAAGGTGTTGCTCTCGGCCGGTACATCGAGGACACGTACTATAACGGCAACCCTTGGTGAGTTGTGCTTTCAAAGTGTCACGACGGTCAAGCTAACTAGCCAGGTACCTCATCACCCTCGGCGCCGCCGAATTTCTTTACGACGCAGTGGCGCAGTGGAACGCCCACGGCCAGATCAAGGTCGACGCGACCTCCCTCCCCTTCTTCAAGGAACTCTACCCGACCGCCAGGGAGACGACCTACCAGAAGAACAGCAACTGCACCCTCGAATACGCCGGCATCGTCAAGGCTGTCAACGCCTACGCCGACTCCTTTATCGCGGTCGCGCAAAAGTACACCCCCGCCGACGGCGCCCTCGCCGAGCAGTTCAACAAGACCACCGGATCCCCGACCTCGGCCCGCGACCTTACTTGGTCCTACGCCGCCTTCATCACCATGGCCGAGCGCCGCGCCGGCCAGTACCCGCCCAGCTGGGTGCCCGAGACCTCGTCAGAGGTTCCCTCTACCTGCGCCGCCTCCACCACGACCGGCGTCTACGTTCCCGCTACCGCTGCCGGCGCGCCCGACGTCACGGGTTCCTGCACCGTGCCGGTAACCTTCCTCGTCAACGCCACCACCTACTACGGTGAGGGCTTCTCTCTCCTCGGCAACATTGCCGAGCTCGGCGCGTGGAACGTCGACAACGGACAGCCCATGTCGGCGTCCGGGTACACCGCCGAGCGTCCGCTCTGGAGCGTCGACGTCGAGCTCCCCGGCGGATCCAACGTCAGCTACGTCTACGTGCGGAAACAGAGCTGCGGCTTCCTCTATGAGGAGAGGAACCGCACGCTCACGGTGCCGGCGTGCAACTCTACGCAAAAGGTGGTCACGGACGATGCGTGGGTTGGAAAGACGAATGGGTGCTGAAAAAGTACAAGTGCTATCCGCTGGCACGTTTGAATTCATTACATCGTAATAAAGATGGTTTAAGGTCCAGTTAGAAAGACCCCAGATACTTAGATAGACCCCTAATTTCCAAACATGTTGTTACCGTCCGGGTTGCCCATCATGCCGGGTCCGCCGCCAACCATGCCGTTCCCGCCCATGGGGAACCCCCCGAAGCCTCCTCCAAAGGCCCCGTACGTGTCCATGTCGTATCCTTGCATCAGGTAGCTCCAGTCCATATCGATGACGTCGGCCTCCGAGGGAGGCGGGTTCATCACCGGCGTGCCCGCCGTCACGGACGGCGGCGTCATCATCATGTTTTGCGGGATCTGCTGCATAGGGAGTTGGGCGTTGTTCACCGGCGCCGCCCTACCCACGCCACCCATCTGCTGCGAGACGGCGCCGGCCGCTGGAACGCCGACGCCGGGACCGCCCATGCCCATCTCCGGCCCGGGCCGGCGTAAGCCTCCACCTCCGCCTCCGTGCTGCTTCTTCCCCATCTTCTCCGCCCGCTGCCGAAGCCTCGTGATCCACATGGGCTCCTGCACCGGCTTCTTCCCAATCTGCTCCTGCCCAGCCGCGTGCGCGTCCCACGCCTTGATGAACAAGTTCCCGAACGCAATGTGCATGGGACTATGCAGCGTGCTCATCAGACCCCTCCGCTCGTGGTTCTCGGCAATGGCATCCCACGCGCGCTCGACCATGGTGCCCGTCAACCTGTGCCGCAGCTCCGTCACCAAAAACATGTAGGCGGGGAACGGGAAGTGGAGGTACGTGTACCACTTGTACCCCTGCAGGCTGTCGGCGGCCTGGACGACGTTGTCGTACTCAATCATCTGGATGGCCTCGAGGAAGAGCGTGTCGCGCTCGTGCTCCGCCAGCGTCGTCGCCTCGCCGTTGCCCATGCGCACGAGGAAGGAGATGACGCGCATCTTGCAGAGCGATTGGCGCGTCATGGTGAGGGTGAAGAAGTGTAGTGGGATCTTGGGGTCGCACCACTTGAGGTATGTGCCTTCAATGTGCGCGAAGAAGCCGTCGAGGGTGTAGACCTGGTCCTGGCCGGCCATGCGCACCGTTGAGATGGGACGCGGCGGGGCTTGGGGGCCGGTGCCGGTGGTGCTGCCGCCACCAGCGTCCTTGTCCTTGTCGCCGTGGCGCTGGCCGTCGCGCAAGGTGTCGCTGCTGATGGCCATGGCCAGCTCTGTCCGGATGAGGACGAAGAGCATCTCCGTCACGCCCTGGTGCGGGGTCGGCGCGTCCTTGCCGTTGACGTGGAGGTCTGTGTCGTTGATGTTGAGGGGTAGCTTGCAGTCGGCGGCGGTGGACAGGGCCGTCACGGTCGACCCCGTCATCTCTCCTATCCGGCGGTCGTAGCCTACAATCGTCCACCACAGCCGCCGGCGTTGCTCGACTTCGTACGGTGACAGGCCGAACGCGGCGGCGTCGCGGTGGAGGCCCATCCGTTGGGCTATCCTCACGGCGATACCGACGAGACAGAATATTTGCCGCGGGTCGACAAACATGCGAACGGCGATCTAGCTTGTTAGCGTGCTTCCTCGAATGATGTATGATGACTTACCAAGTAGAGCATGTAGGCCTGAAGGACCATTGTGTCACTGGTCCGCATGAAGCCCGCGTTGACCAAAGCTTGCTGAAGCGCGGTGTGGAACCTCGACAAGACGGTAGGTTTTGGCTCGTTGAACATCTTTGCCACCTCAACGTCTTCCATGGATGTGATTGCCATGAGGTAAATGGCAAACATGAGCGTCTCGACGCTCTTTGGGATCTTTTCGAGGTTGGCGCTGGCCTCGATGATGAGGCCCTGTACCGTTGGCACGTGTGTTATTTTGAGGAGGGGGTTGACGTTGTTAATGTAGATTTGCCAAAGTTGAAAGATCTGGATAGGTGATGGGTGAAGATGCGTCACGGAGGCATTTCGACTTCCCACGATGAATGGAAAGCCGTCCTGGTTATCGTACATCTTGTCAAAGGCGTGGTGTATGGTTGAGCCGTCAACCTCGTCTTCTGACGAGTCTCGTAACAGCTCCTCGCTGGCTCGAAACTGGTCCAAGTCAGATGTGCGGATGGCAAAGCAGGGTAAGGCAACACACCTCTTTGTGAAAGGGAAACCATTTGCTAAATGGTCTAGTTGGGATTGAGTTAGCTGACGATCAAATAATGGAGTGAGCCAACGCACTTATCGGATTGTGATCTCCGGCTCCCTGCCACGGAAGGGGATGTGCTCCCCTCTGGCGAGGTCTTTAGCCCCTCAAAGTCGTTTGCGAGGTCGGCATCCTCGTCGAGCATGTGGTCATCGTCAAGGTGTGTCGAGTTCCTATCGCCGGCCTTGAGCTCGCCGGCAATGGGATCGAACTTGACCCCATTCTCCGCCAAGAGGAATTCGTACTTTTTGAGGCGGTCGACGAGATCGCGTTCCTGAAGACGCTTCTTGCGCCTTCTGGGCGGTTGTGGTGGTATTACTCGACACTCTACCCGGGCCTTGACGCAGTTGGCACACGGCTTGTTCTTGTCGCAGCGGACTTTTCGTTGCTGGCACAGCACACACGAGGTCCCCTGGTAAGCTTCATCGCTGCCATGGGGTCGGGTTCGGGTGCGGGTGGAGGAACTGCCCTCGGCGGGGGTGGGAGCTGGGCTTCTCCCGACGACATGGTTCAGTATTATGTGGATGCCTCTCTCTTGGGATGCAACAACGACGCGACAATCAGCCACCTTGCAGACGTGGTTCGTCGGCTGGCTTGTTCCCAACTCGGATCCGAGGGGTGACGTTTGCAGGCGAAACGTTGATGGGGTGCAGCATGTGAGTCTAAAGAGTACTATCCAATGAAGAAGCACTTCCAGATGCTGCCGCCAGGTTCTTGCCAGGGTCGGAGGAGGAAGCTGTATTATTGACCGAGACGCTATCGACGTGATGGTGTACAAGACGGTCCCGGGATAGGTTGAAGTGCCGTATCCTGTATGCGGGCAGTGTAGATGGCCAGGAACGAGCAGGCAAGAGACGATGCGGATCACAATTCGTACAAAGCAATCGAGGTGGTATGACAGAGAGTATGCAAAAGTCACATACGGGGACGCCCAGCCTATGAGACGAACAACATGACTGTCGACTTGGTCAGTCCGGTGCTAAGAATTGAGGCTCTTTGCTTAACTTGGGCCTCTCGTGCCTTCTCGTGTTGAGACCACAAAGGAAAATGAATGGTTGTAAGATGAATATCAGAGGGAGCGGGGACTGCGGTCAGCTACGTTACCCGCCCGGGACCGAAGAGGGACCCATCGGCGCTGGTCTCCCCGTGGCCCGCGCCTGCAAGGGGTTGAAAGTGGCCCAAGCTCCCTCAGCCGGAATGCCTGGTGAAGAGTCTTAGGTAAGCCGGAGATTGCTGCGAGATACCCGAGCACCCGGCGCTATTCCGGAACAGGGCAAGCACCATCCTTTGCCCGGACACAACATCGACCTCCGGTGCCCGAGCAACTGCAACGCCATGTCCGTACACCACCAAAAGACAAGGGCGAGAGCTGGGCAAAGCATCCTTCTCTGGACATCCCCATCGGCCTTGACAAGTCAGCTTCTGGATCTCGTCATGACTTTCTTTCTGTGAGACATTTCTATGCGGGCTATGATGGCCTTGCGTGGCTTCGCGTCGCGCCCTCTGCCCGTCACACTATGCTACCGACCACCGCGTCCAAGATAAGCAGGCAGAGCAGGATGGCGGCGATAGCCAGGCTCGCCATATATAGCGATCCTCGCCTCTTAGTTCCATGACCCCGTCCTAGTGTCTCTCCCGCCAGACGAGCTCGTGGTCCGAACGTGATCTGTAACTTGAGATCTGACCGTGCGCTCGAGAGTCCGGACGAACCTCTAGCTCCCTCGCCCGTTCCATTAATCAATATTTTCCTGCTGCCAAGCCCAAAAAGATTTGTGTGTGCTGCATTCTTTTGTTTACATTTCGTGGCTTCACTCGAATTCGTTCACACAACGTCAGCCTGCTGTCCAATTCCCACGACAGCTTCAACATGGCGGACGCAGCTGCGAGGCCCGTCGAGGGCGATACTGCCTCAGAGAAGACCCGTGAGGTGGAGACGTCCAACAGCTCCACGCGGACCTTGACTCCGAGAGAGAGCGACGAGCGGCAGGAGAAGAAGTCCTCCGAGGAAAAGCCCATCGAGCCCGAGATTGAGAGCGAGAGACCGACAGAAAAGGCAAGGGTCCAGTCCTCGGCGATATCAGCAAAGGAGAGCCAAAATGATGTATCCAAGCAGCCAGACGTCGACGACGATGTCGATGAAAAGGCCGATATTGAGGGGGGATCACCAACGGGGCCCCCGCCCGTTTTCGATGAAGCCGAGGAAAACTTCAAGCCAAAGACCATTACCTTTTGGCTCGTCATTTTGTCCAACTTTGTGGCAATGTTCCTCGTTGCCCTGGACCGCACAATCATTGCCACGGCCATTCCTCGAATCACTGATGAGTTTCAAAGTCTTGGCGACATTGGCTGGTACGGTTCGGCGTACATGCTCACGACTGCGGCCTCGCAATTGGTGTTTGGCAGAATCTACAAGTTTTACAGTCTGAGGGGGTGAGTTTGACGGTCACTAATTTGAAAAGCATGCTAACACGACGGTAGAGCATTCCTTGGAAGCATTCTCATCTTTGAAATCGGCTCGCTCATCTGCGGTGTTGCGCCGAGCTCGCCGGTGCTCATTGCGGGCAGAGCCATTGCCGGTGTTGGTTCGGCTGGTATCTTCACGGGAGCGATGATGGTCATGATTCCCATGATCCCGCTGCATAAGAGACCCATGTTCCAGGGCATCTTTGGCATGGTGTTCGGTCTGGCGTCTGTCATTGGGCCCTTGGTTGGCGGTGGCTTCACGAGCAACGTCACATGGAGGTATGGGCTTCACAAGCATTTATATGTGCAGAATTAACGAGACGCAGATGGTGCTTCTACATTAACCTCCCAATCGGA